CTAGATAAAATGACAGTGGCTCATTTGGTCTTCTTATACTGGAGGATTTGGAAAGGGCGGTGTTCTTCAATGTATGAACTTGTCCTCTTCCTACCACCCACTCTGCTGCGGCAGTTTGATAGTCAAGTATCATAATGGACTTTCGCTCAATCAAACCCTGTCACTGGAGCTCGTCCAAGAAGCCAACATAGCTCCCCTATTGCTGGTCGGAGCTATGTACCCCCTGCTATTCCCGAGAATTCAGTCATTGTTCATTTTGATGGAGCCACACAACAATCACTTCAAGGAGGACTTGGATTTGTTGGCTTCACTGGACATCGGGACGTGAGCTTTGCTTTTGGCAGATTCTATGAGGAAGTTTCGGATCCCTTTCTTTTGGAATTGATGGCTCTTCGTGATGCTATGCGTTGGTGCTTCTCTCACTCTCTAACTAATATTCTTTTATGTGGTGATGCGCAGGTGCTCATTCGGATGGTCAACGCGAACTATTCGGCTCACGCTTTGGGAGGTGCCATTCTGAAGGAGGTTCAGGTGTTACGATCATCTCTCCGGCGTGTTTCGTTTCATTTCGTGCCTCGTAGGTACAATAGGGCTGCCCATATCATGGCGAAACAGGCCCTCTCATCGATGATTCAGCAGCTTGTTGATCATCGCGCTTTAATTTTTTCCCTTTGTCTTTGACCTTTTTGGTTTTGTATATTCTCGTACCTTGCTATTCCTCCCGGAATATCTATGGCAAAAAAAAACTTCAAGTTTCTTTTTCTACCATTTCTTTGTACTAGCTTTTATTCGGCCCTTGGCCGAATGAGTTTTGCTTTATCTTTTACATTGGTTAATTTATAAATATATTTAAAATATTTACCCGACCAGTTGGTCGGATGAATTTTAGTTTATGTTGATCAATTTTATCATGTTTTAAAATAATTTGAGGTTTTCTGAGATAACTAATTCATTATTTTAAAGTAATCTTTATGATATTTGTTGATTATGACATTAGCGATAATTAGCTAATATGTATTTTTTATCAAGTCGTCCTAGTTTACTGTTTTGTATTTTTATCCCCCATATCTTAGAAGAAATTGAGAACTTTTTATTATCGGATATGAATTTGGAGTTGGAAGGAAATATGTCATCTAGAATTGGTAGGAATCGAAGGTATATCAGAACATCAAGAGAATAACGAAAAGATTATGCCTCAAAATCTCAAATATGGAAGAACACGAAAAAATTATGCTTATTGTATAAATTATTATGATTTTGTGTATATGCTTGTTTGAATAATAAGTGAGAGCTGTTAAGTGTCAGATACTAATGCACGTACAAAAGTTAACAAAATCCAAACATTATAAAAGCTTAAATTCTACTCTACCAATATACTGTTTGACTTTTCATGTAGAGTTAATAGCATAAATTGTCACTCTATTATCTATTTTTTCAAATCTATCACTCTATTATTTTTCAAATCAAACATGCCCTTGTAATATATAGTATATAAGCATTATCAATTTAGCCCCTTTTTATGGGTTATCTTCTCCATCTGCAACTCTCAATAATTAATAGTCACAGTCTCATTCTCCATCTGTTCTGCTTTCTCTTCCTTCGATCCAACAATAATTAAACGCAAAAACTTGTCTGTCACGAAACAACCTTGAAGACCGACTTTTGAATTTCAACCACTCTCTCAAAATCCACAAATATTGATCGATTTGACTAAATCATAAAAATTGGAACACCATATTTTTTTAGAATATATTGATTTTAAAGTATCAAAGGTTGTCAACTCGGTTTAGCCCGTTGGCCCGGTCGATTAAGTGGGTTGAGGATTAATGGTCCATTCATTTTTGTCCGCTTTTGCCCGTATATATGAAAAAGTCATTATATTGTTTATATATTTATAAATTATATAAAATCTCATCTATATATGGATAATATTCTTCCTCACACGGACTATCTACATTTATTTCTCTATCTGCTACTTTCCGTTGTCCTCTTTCGAGCTCCTAAAAAGCACTCCAACAACATGTACGCAATGAAGGTCGCACTCCTATGGCTCCGGTGTGTGTCAGATGTGACATTAACGAGGAACGACCAAGTGGGAATTGAGCCTTGGGGTGCTTGCAAGGGAAGGCAATATGTGATGGAAGGCGAATCCTGCTAGTAGTCTCTGTCTACAGAATTGACTCAACGGATTTAGTTTACCAATTCACGGAGTGGGTGCTAGAACGGGAGCATAAGAGCGTATATATTCTTCGAGAATTATAATTTGAGTGCGGCGAAGAGCGTGAATATTATATTATTTAACTTACTAACATTTTTTAGTCAAAATATTACTATAGACACCACTTTTTGTCGGGGTTAAACATTTTTAACTGACTAAATTTTTATTTTTTATTAAAGGTTTGCAATAGCGAATCTTAATTGATCTTCAAACTAAAATATATTAATAGTGCTTGAGACGGTCGTGTTCGCATTAACTCTATGAGATAAGAAATAGCAAATCTCGATTGATAGAGTCCAGTTGATGTTTAAGACATTCACTCGGCTTGGGTTAGTGGGGTTTCGATTTTCATGTTTTGATTTGGTTAAACGAATTAACCAATTGATTAATCTCATTGTCATGAGTTGTTTAAGACCAATAACAATTGAATTGGACGACGTTGGAGTTGGAGTTGAGAACATTAAAATATGAGAAGGTTAAACAAAATTTACCCGTAACATAAGTTTTGATTACTAAATAACAATTATAACTATGATTAGTAATCAATTACAATTACATAGACCCTTTCATAAAACAAAGATTACAAATTACAAATTTTATTACAAGGGATCAAAGCCTAAGCCCAAGTCAACTCAGTCCAGCCCCAGTCAACAAAGTCAAACCGGTCAGAGAACAGGTCTGACCAAACCCATATTGGTCTGACCCAACTCATACCGGTCCGACCCAAACCCAACACTGTTCCAGACTTGGGTAACAAGTTGACTCTCCTATAAAAAACACTCCACTTTCTGAATAGGGGGGAGAGCTCTTCTTCTTCTTCTCTTCCTTTCCCCTACCTCGATGGCTCGATCTGCTCCTTCTCAACAAAAGCAGGGGCTGGGCTTTCTTATTCTTCCACTTCTTCATTACAGCACTTTGCTTCCCCCTTCCTCACAAAACTCTGGCTTCGCCGTCTTCTTCGTACAGAAGACGAAACTCTACAAAAAAGACCTGCTGATTCGTCTTCTTCCTACATAGCTAACAACTTTCTTTTTCTTCCTCTTCTTCTTCTTCTGAAACCAGAGACAACAAAAACTCTTCAAAACTTCCCTTTCCTCAAACATTCAACCGAAACCAAAAATAGACAGAAAAGAGCAAAAAAAGATAGACAAGGGACTTCTTCCTTTTCTTTCGACTTCTTCTTCTTCAGACTTCCTTTACCCTCCCAAAGGCAGTCGACAGTTCTTTTTCTTCTTCTTCTTCCAACAACACAGACGAAAAACCCTACAAATAAAAACAACTTCATCTTCTCGGTCACAAACCATACACAGACAAGACAACAAAAACTCACACACAGACGACTCTCTTACAAAGAACCCAACAGCACCAGAAAACACTCCCAACTTCTTTCCTCCATCTTATAGATAATAAACAGAGCATCCCATCTTTCTTCCTTCGTATAAACAGACAGCCATAAAAGAGAAACATAATATACCTCCCTAATTCCTTCTTCTGCTCACTCACAGACCAACCATACACAAAACAAAACAAACAGGCTTCCTTCTCTTCCAAACACGCAGCTAGAAAAACCGGCAGGAGAATAGAGAGAAAGAAACAAAAACTCTGCAAATTCCCTATAGGGGTCGTTTGGATGGAGTATTTGTATGAGTTATTTGGGTTCAAATAACTCACAATGAGTTATTTGGACGCAAATAACTCGTTTGGCAACGTTTTACTGAAATGAGTTATTTGGACAGTGAGTTATTTACAAATAACTCAAAACGAGTTATTTGAAATAACTTATACTCATGTGTTATTTCGAAATAACTCGTTTTATCACTCTGTTTTTACCAAATACCACATGTCAAATACCACAATTGCATGGTTCAACCAAACGAGATACTTTATTTCAATTACTACTAAAATAACATTGAAATACCACATGAGCAATAAATGAGTTATTTGACTCTACAAATACCACATTGACAATTAAGTTATCCAAACGACCCCTATTTCTTTTTCATCTAAACTCCGACAACCTCAAACAGAAAAAAAGAGACAACAAAAGGAGAGGAAGTTCTATCAAATCACTTCCAAAATCCTTTCTTCTTTGCCACGAACACACACAACACAGAAAAGGAGCATAAAGGTATCAAACATCAAGGAAAAGTGGAAAAAGGAGGAAAGCATTTCACCCCAAAACTTCAATCAAAAGGTTGGTAAGCAAGCAAATTAAGTTAATTAACCATCTTTAGGATCAATCATCACCATAACATAATCCTCTCACTTCTACTTTTCTTAACAAGTTTTAAGAGGAAATCATAAGTGAAATTACAAGTCGATCTAAACACCTTAAAAGGGATCAAGTTCTAGATCTCTTTTCATTGCAAGCACTTAACATCATCGAAATCCAACTACTTACCGCAATCTTCATCCTTGTACTTATTTATCTCCTGAACTCTATATGTATAAATTAAATAGCATCCATGTACTTTGATACAGTTAGTTTTCTTTCCGTTCAGATTACAAACTTATAACTATGTATATTATTGCTACAATTACCAATCTACTAATAGCTATATAAATATATGTTTCATCTATCATCTCGATTAAACTTCTATTATGTTATCTTCCTTTTACCTAACATTTCCAGAACTCATAAGCACCACAAATGAATCCAAGTACCCAGAATAATCTAAACTCTTTATTACCTAAAACCATCATAATCAAAACCAACCGAATCTCACAATCAAAATTACCTTGAAGATATATAAATTTCCAGTTTCAAACCCATACAAATCCCCACAGGTTTTCAAAACCAGCCATTATCCTGACTCAAATCATCAAATGCATTTGCACCGCCACATATTTTCAAAACCCAGATCTTTAAACAAGTTTTAAAACCACTATAACTTAAAAGGCAAATTACACCTGTATAGCCATAACTTTCACACTTTTGACAAATATAGCCATTTCTATTCGAAAACCACAAATAGCCCAAAAAACTTAGGGTAATGTGACAAATCTAGCCAAATCCGTTAGAAACTTTAACACCGTCTGTAACTCCGTTAAATCTATTGACGGAATGATGACGAGGACGGAATCCGACCTCCACATCAGCGACGCATCAACAAACTGTACACGTGGAATGCCACGTCAATAAATAATTTCGAAAATAAAAAAAATTAACTTTCCCCTTTTCATATATGTATAGAACCTCCTTTCTCCTACCCGATTTTCCCAATACACGAATTAGGGTTCTGAGGTTTAACAATTTCGAAGGCTCTGTTCCTTCCCAGCTCTTCGACAAGCCGCTCGATGCTCTGTTTTTGAATGACAATCGGCTCCGATTCGGGATCCCCAAGAATCTAAGGAACTCGCCGGTTTCGGTGCTGGTGTTTGTGAACAACAATCTCGGCGGGTGTATTCCCGGGAGCATTGGGAAGATGGGGAAGACATCAGAGATTGGGAGAGACGGCGGTGACGAGGGCGGGGAATCCTGATGGTGGTGGAGAAACCGTAGCGACGACGGCGGGAGCTGGCGAGTGCGAAGGAGATTGGCGATGACGGAGCGGTTCGGATACGCTGGAAACGAAGGGATCCGACCGACAGCTGCTTCTTCTTCCTTGGCGGTGACGGTGCGGCTTTTGGCCCGCTTGCGACTGATCGGATTACTGAGCCTTCCGTTCCGCTGCAGCTTACTGCGTTCGATGGGCCTTCAATTCAAGATGCTTCTGATGCTGCTTCTGGGGATGCGCTTATTTACTTACTGACCCATTTTCCTGTTCACCAGTTGCGCCTCTTCATGGGGACGTTTATCTTTCTCCAGCACTTCTTCATGTGGAGGATTTCCCTGCAAATCAAAATCAAAATATGGGAACCCATGATTGAGTGGTTTGGAAGAGGAGGAGGGGTCTGGAAGAAGGTGGAGAGAGGGGATTGAGTGGTTTGGAAGAGGAGGAGGGGTGTGGAAGAAGGTGGGTGGGAGTCCGATCTGGGTGAGAAGGGAAGGGAACTGATTTTCTTTTTAATAATTTTGTGTTTTTTTTAATCCACCTCAGATGGTCGCGTAAATCAATCGCCAACTCAACATATTCCGTTAGTCCAGTCATATCGTCAACTAACGCTGTTAACAAAATGGACGGAATTGGCTATTTCGGGTTTTCGAATAGATATGGCTATATATGTCAAAAACGTGAAAGTTATGGCTATACAAGTGTATTTTGCCTAACTAAAATACCAATCTCAAATAGAAACCATACATGCAGGACAAATCTCACCATTTTGGATAGCTCCTGTCGAGCAATGGCAGGTAGACCGCCATTGCTCGCTGGCCGTGGCCTTTTCTTTCTCTTCCCCTCGTTCACTTTCCAAAATACAGAAAACAAACAAAGCATATCAGAAACCAAATCCGGAAATCCGAAAGAAAAGAAAACAAACTAAAGTCTATGGCTCTTACCTTTCTCACCGGCGAGACCTTGGCGCCGCCGGAAAAACTCGAAGTCACCGATGACTCCGACTTCCGTTGCTCCTGCCCTTTTTTTTTTTTTTGAATCCTCACATAAAACCCAGAAAAAAACTTTACCACGAATCTAATTCCAGATTCACACTCCATCAATTTCCAAATTTAAACCCATGATACACAATGATATAGATTTGTAAACCCATCTTAAAACACTTTGATAGAATCCCGAATTCAAAACAAAAACGATCAGAACCGGAACAAACCGAATCGAACCCCAAAATGCGACATGCAATCCACAAACACTCACCTCCGACCACCTCACCGACGTCGTCGCAATCTCCAGTGCCTAATCTCACCGCCCTTACAATCGCCATCGCCCTCGTCGCAAAGAAGAGGACCGCTTCCAGTTCCTTTTGCCATTTCGAGAAAAGATAGGGAGGAGTACAGAGGCTAGGTGAAGAGAGTTAGGTTTGTTTGATTTGTTTAGAAAAGAGGAAGAGAGTAGACGAGCAGGAAGGAGGATGCGGATCGTTCGGTCATGAGAGAGAAAACGAGAATGGGGTGATTGGGATTGGTTTGTTTTGTTTCTCTGTTTTGTTTGTGTTCTAGAGAAAATGAGAAGAAAAGAACGAGAGAGAGAGAAGGGGAGCGAGTGTGGGCAGATATCTTTGGGGCTAGGATTCGGCTCTGTGCTGACAGTATAGGTGTCAAAACATAGCCCGACTAGATTAACCCGCCCGATCAACCTGATCCGTAACTCGATCGCAATCCGAATTGACTAAAAGTCAACAACCCGTAATCCGCCCGACCCGCAACCCGATTGACCCGCAACCCAACTAACCCGCAACCCGACTAACCCGCAACCCGATTAACCCAAACCCGATTGACCCGCAACCTGACTGACCCGTAACCTAACCGACTCAACCCGAATTTCATCTAATCCACTTGAATAATTATAAAAATATACAATACATAGTTTTTCAAAATAAAGTTTTTCATTCTAAACTTAAGTAAAATTATTTTTTTCATTTCGTATAAGAAATTTTAAAAATATGAAAGTCACTTGATATTACGTATTTTAAGAAAATTACAAAAATTGAAACATGAAGGTCACTTGAGATCATGACAATATTAATATAATATATAAATTAAAATTTTGGTTAATTTAACTATTCAATAAAATTATCATTTAAATATAATTAAAGTAAAGTAATGTATTTGGTAATTTGATGTTTTTAAAAAAAGAGGGAAATTTTGGTGTATTCAATTTTTTGGGAAGAGAAAGAAGAGGGAAATTTGGTTCTTTGAATTTTTTAGAAAAGAAACAAGTGAGAATTTTGGTGGTTTTGATATGTGGGAAGAGAAAGAAATGGGAAAGTTTAATTCTTTTGATTATGAAAGAGAAATAAGGAGAGAAACTTTTAAGTTTTCAACTTTTTGTAGAAAGAAAGAAAAGGATAATTTGGTTCTTTCAATTTTATGGAAGAGAAAGAGGAGGGAAAATTGAGTTTTTCTAATGTATGAAAAGAAAAAGAAGGAGGAAAATTTTAGTATGTTTGTGGAAAAAAAAAGGAAACAAATTTGGTGTTTTCAATTTTTTGGTTTTTCATAATTTTAGCTTTTGAAATATGAATCTTTAACTTTTATATGGAGGGCATGACTAGTTAAAATTATTCTTATATGCTTTGAAGGCTAATATGTATATATGTATGTAATTTTTTATGGGCTAATAAATAAATTAACCATTAGTTACAACAATTTATACTAAACTTGATAAGTAATCTTTGACGGTTCGTTGTTTAGGATATAAAGTATATGGTTAGGATATAAGGTATAAGGTACATATGGTTTAGGGTGTATATGGTTAGTGTATAAGATATTGATGGTTTTGACGTTACTAAGTTTTTTATTAACATATGTTCACTTGAAGTCATTTGAAGTCTTTAACGGCAGGAGATCCTTTTTTAATTTATGTTTATGGTACGTGGTTAGGGTACAAGGTATGTGGTGTAAACTATAGGATATATGGTTAGGGTATAAAAATTAGCAAATATCACTTTTTATCTATGTTTTGAAAATCAAAGTATGAATTTCACTTTTAAATTAACTATACTAGCAAAATCACAACTCAATGACATATGTTTAGGGTATAGGTTATGTGGTTAGTGTATAATGTATTGATGGTTTAGGGTATACAATCAACAACATATACTAACTTAATATTGTTGATTGAGGGTAAAGCTAAGTGTATAGGATATATGCTATTGAGTAAGTTATGATTGAAGTCACAATAATTTTACTAAATTTGATAGCTAATCTTTAATGGTACAATTTTTAGGATAATTCGAACAATTTTACAAATAACTCGTTTGGCAACAGTTTACTAAAGTTATTTGGGCAATGAGTTATTTTGAAATAACTCCTTTTATCACTATGCTTTTGCCAAATACCACACACCAAATACCAGATTTGCATGGTTATACTAAACGAGATACTTTAATCCAATTACTAATGAATTAATACTAAATATCAAATAAACAATTAACAGTATCTTTTGGTTGCAAATATTGATATCACCATTACTATTAGCTATAATACTTTACCAATTATGATTAATTACATAACAAGTTTGCAAGTCATACAAATTGATTTAACATTTTGACTAGTTTTTTTTTTTTAAATAAAGTATATATATACGAGGTAGAAATAAATTGGTTAAAAAGTTGAGAAAATATTTTAAATGAGCGTAATAAAATGTGTAAGTTGGTAATGAGTTAAGTTACTTGATGCGCTGGCCTGAACAACCCGAAACCCGACCCGCCCGCAACACGCCCTACCCAAAACATGATGAGCCCGCAACTTGATTGAATCCGAACCCGATGAACCCGCAACCCGACTAACCCGCAACCCGTTTGAACCGGAACCCGATGAACCCGCAACCCGACTAACCCGCAACCCGTTTGAACCCAACCCAAACCCGCCCGATTGACACCTATAGCTGAGAGGGTATTGAAACCCGGATTCAGAAATGACTAAAATGCCCCTTCAATTTCCATGAAATAACCCGCTGCCACTTTCCTTCTGCAAAAAAAAAAGACAACAAAGTATAACCTCCAGGTAGGGTGAACAAACACACCCACAAACCGACCCACCCGTCCAACCCGACCCAACCCCCCTCTTTTGGGTTGGGTTTGGATTTTGGATTACACAACCCGTAGAACCCGACCCAACCCGTGTTCCAATTATGGGTATGAGTTCGTATCCAAAAAAATATTTATGTCGTTATAGTCATACTTATGAGAAAATTAAGATATTTCGCCATGTTTTTCTCTTAAAGTCTCACTAATCTAATGCATTCTTCGACTTAAAGTTTAGACATATATTTAATATAGCTACGATTCACGTATTTTTTTTTCTTGTGTACAATTTTAAAAGTTAGACATAAGTTGAAGTAAATCAATTTTTATTAAAATTCAAACAATATTTGTGAATTTTGATACCTTTCGCCTCGGTTTATTCGTTTGAATTTTTAATTTGTTATAAAATATTTTTATGATGTAGAATAATTTCATATTTTGTGTTGGGTTGGGTTTTTACTTACAAATATCGCCAACCCGACCCAACCCAATTAAAAACAAACCGTAGGGTTTAGATTTTTTTGGGTGGGTTTGGGTTTAATATTTCCCAAACCGTAGTGCATGGGTCGGGTGATTAAAATGCCTAAACCCGGACCACCCGACCCATATACACCCCTACCTCCAGGGTTATTCGAACCCGAGGCCTCAGCCCAATAAACTCATAGTGAAGTACCTAACCACCCAGACTACAATGTTTTCTCTGATACCTTAATTCTTTCGCTACTAATTATTTTACAGTAAGCTTAATACGCAAAATTTATATTGATTAATCGTGTCAAGACTTTTGCATTGGCCAAGTTACGATTACTTCTCGGTATATCAAAATTTTAAAACTTTGATTAAATTTGGTTTCATTTTACATACACATATTTATTTACTTAGTGATTTTCCTAATACGAAATCATGGTCAATAGGCTGTGAAAGTCGTTTTCGATGAAATTCTTCCAAAAGGCGATCTAACATTCTATCACTAAATTGATAAATCATAATTCCATTTCCTAACAACTCAAATCATCTTGATCGTGTTTAAAATCATCTTTCCAAAACCTATCAATTCCAACGAACTACGTGGACTTTGATCCCGACTAAGTCGGGTACGTAGGCAACCAATAGGTTTGAGTCCAACTAATCTAAAAAATATTTTTACATCAATGGATGTGAAAATTGTCAAGTAAATACAACAATTCAAAAATCACCTTAATCATATCGTCCAATTGGACTCTAAAATATACACCCAAAAAAATTAAAAATAATTCAATGATACGATTAAACTCACAAACAAGCCAAATAATAATAACACACCCAACTCCTTAAAAACTTATCGATTTAGGTAGTGCCGATTTAGGGCGTTGTGGGGTGTGAATACACTTCCCCACACGTAACCGTACTCTCGTATATGGGTGGGCAACGGGACGGGATACCCGTCCCATTTTAAACGGGTACCCAGTCCCATTTGGAGACCAAAGTCCATCCCATATCCCAAACCCATATGGGAAACGGGTACCTATTACCCGTACAGGACGGATAACGGGTACCCATACTACCCATAAATACCCAAAGTTTAAATGACATTTTACCTAAAGACAATTAGTCAATTACATCCAAAACATTCATTTCAAAACACAAAATGGCTGCACAAGTAGCAACTTACACCAATTCCTACAACCCAAAGAAGGGATGATGATGAAGATGAAAAGGAATCAAGGAAGGGGAAATGACCAAATAATAAAACCCAGAAAGAGAACAAGTTCTGCTTCCTGGAAAGTGCCATGATTCTGTAATAATAATAATAAGTTCTGCTTCCTGGAAAGTGCCATGATTCAGTAATAATAATAATAATGTTGTTTCTACTCAAATCAATCCTCAGTTTGGCAAAATAGGGTGGGGAAGGTGGTGAATTTTGCAGCAGCAAGCAAGGGTGCGTCAGCGTCTCAATTCTCACGGGCTGAATTAAATGGATTTTGTAATTTTAATGGATTTTGAATTGAGGTGGGCCTGGGCACATGGGCTAAATTATATGTCTTTGTAATTTGAATGGGTACAACGGGTACCCATATTACCCAAATGGGTATTCGCGGGTAACCCGCGGGTACCCATATTAGGATTGTACAATCCCAAGTCCCATCCGTTTAAAATGTTACGGGTAATATGGGTACCCGTAACCCTTAAAAAACGGGACGGGTACGGATATACCCAAATACCCGTTTCCAGTTACCCACCCCTACTCTCGTACCCATAATCTCTAAATTCGCAGACCAGAATCCGGTTTTGACCCTAAGGCCGAGACCGGACCAAAGGTGTTCGATCCACCCCCAAGTAAGATCGATGGCGACTCCGAGCATTTCACGACGCGTCCCCCGATTTTGGAAGGGTGGTTGCGACAATTACAACAATGCAACGGAAAAATAAAAATAAAATCATTTTAGTAGGATAATAGTTTTAAATAATCTGATTAGGCAAGAAAAAGGAACATACTTTGAAAGTTGAATAGAAATCCACAAAAGTTTACGATACTGTGTTTTATTAAAGTTTTTAGTTTTTATTTTTCTAAAGGAAAAGAGAAACAAATGCATCGTTTATCCACTTCCATGCACTCAATTAGTTGTTAATAAAAGAGTATATATATTATTCTTCTCCTTCGATTCTTTGTTTCCTAAGCCGATGCTGGAGATCTCCTATAGATGTACCAAATTGGCAAATTCTATATCATCAGTCATCCAACTAATCTCTTATCCTTTTATTTGGCCACAAGCCGTTGATTTGATGATCAATTACAGTCCCCATTTAAGAACTTGTGGTGTACCATTTTCGTCTTTGCTCTCCTGATCTTTGATGGCACTGCATGTATTCCTTTCTCTCATGAAGAAGCAAGCCATCGTCTTCGAGCCAAAGTTGTTGATTTGGCTATAACTTGTTTCATTTTACTTTGTTTATAGAAAAAAAATCTCTCAAATAAGTGATATAAGAAATAAAATTTGCGAACTTTGATTTTCGATGCTAAGATTTTTTAGTTTGAGCTACATTTCTGAGTTTTGGAAGTTTGTAGTTTTTGAAAAATAATTGTGAAGCAAAAATATCATTTCTTCTTTCACTCTCGCTGTAGAAAATTTGAAATGAGACAACAATTTTCTCATTTTAGTATTATATATTGTGTAGAGTGTATATAAAGACATGTCCTTTCTCTACAAATTCATTAGCACATTTAAAAAAGGTGAAATGAACCAAATTATTAAACTCCTAATGATTGTTGGATCCAATCATGTCAGAATAGAACAAGTTTAAAATTTGACGGTTAGGCAAACTAAAATGTTCAAAGAATCAGCCCCATATAGTTTACATGAAGATATAATTATGATTGTGTCATAATAGATCTATTTTAAGAATTATACATCACTTTTACATATTCAATACTGCAATTTGATATGGAATATTCAAACCAGTAATATTTGGGCCACTATCCCAAGGGAGCATTCAAATATCTGATATATATATATATATGGTGCCTTCTATGGTACCCGGGGTGAAATCCGGGGTACCGCATATCTTGAGTATGAAAACACTATCTTGACCTAGAATTAGTAGGATTTTTAGGCATGATACTATACCCTAACCCTTAATGAGTGAACCCTAGGTATCTAAATCATAATCTATAAACCCTAAGATGGTGCATTCCTTTTTGTGCCTATATTTGGATGAATCATAACCGTCGATTATGATTTCTAATTAAATTGATCTTGGAGTATAATATTGGGAGAGTTAACACCTACATTTTGATCTTTAAGTGTTAGAGTATAGTATCATGTTCGAAAGATCGGTCAATTCAAGGTCTAGATAGTGTTTTCATACTCAAGGTATGCGGTACCCCGAATTTCACCCAGGGTACAGTAGAACTCGCCACATATATATATATATATATTTATTTGAGCAGAATGACGAACGAACAGAATAATGATGGATGATTGTCAATTTCAGCTTTTAGCTGAGATTTTAATCATTCATTTTTTTCTACGTTTTTAGGAACCACCATAATCATTCAACCTCCAAACCATATATTTATCAAATTCATACATTAATACAATACATCTGAATAAAACATATAAAATAATTAATACATCAACTTAGAGAATTCTAACTACCAAACATGACCTAATCGTATTTTATAATTTTTTTATGATATAAAAACACGTTGTTGTATTTTTTCATTACCATTTATAAGTAGGATATTATATATTCTTAAAAAATTATACATAATGTTTTATTTAATTGAGTAAAATGCGTGTGTACGACACTGACTATGAGTACATATATCATCGACCATAGAGAATGAGGATCATGTGCCTAAGATAATATTTTCACTAATATTTTCCAATAAGTTGCCATTTCGGAAATTGGTATTAAACAAAGTACTGCAATATAAAAGTATTAACGGCATTCTTTTATTTTTTTGTTATAGTACCAAAATGACTATTTTAGGAAATTATAAAACATAAATTATAAATCATTGAGCTCTCACTTATTAAATTAAGTTCTCCATGGGACAGGTCACTAGTCTTCCACCCCTAGAAAGGTAGGAATGTGATGACTTTTTATTAGTTGAGTTGACCTAGTGTAAATTCAAAGTAGGGGTATAATTGTCATTATGAAAATATGTTTAAATAATAATAAAAAATATTTTTTTTTAATTTTCTGCCCAAAATTTGGTTGCCGGAATTCTGCCACCGGTCAACGAACTTCGTTGACCGGTCAACGGTCTTCGTTGACAGGTCAATGTTCAACGATCAACGGATGTTATGGTTAGCATTGTGAGATTTATGGTTTGGTTTCTCATTTTTTTTATTCCTTTTGTGGTTTGCTTTATCGTGTTTGTGGTTTGCATTGGGAAGTTTCTGGTTTGGTTTCAAAAACTTTGTGGTTTGCATTGTGAGGTTTCTGGTTTGTTTTAATATATTTGTGGTCTGCATTAGGACATTTATGGTTTGCTTTTTTATGGTTTGATTTACTGTGTTTGTGGTTTGCATTATGAGGTGTTTGGTGTGCTTTCGCAAATGTTGTGGTTTGTTTTGTGAGGTTTCTAGTTTGTTTTAGGAGATTTCTGATATGCATTAGGAGGTTTCTGGTTTACTTTATTGTGTTTCTGATTTGCATTAGGAAGTTTATGGTGTGCTTTCGAAAAAATTATGGTTTGATTTGTGGGGTGTCTGGTTTGTTTAAATGGATTTGTTTTAATAATATGTTTGGAAAGATTTGAGGTATGCATTAAATGATTTTTTTGCCATATTTTGTGGCCAGATGCAGAAACACACCACCAAAATTTGTAGCATCATCACTTGAGTTGCTACTTGCAAGTTACTACTTACATCCATATAACTAAAAGAAGCATATGTAGTTCCCTCAAGTACCACTACACAACCGACATGTATCCAAATGACATAATCCTAATAAAATCCAATCAATACACAAGCAATGAAAGCAGACAGGGTTATTTATATAGTGATGAAGAAGGCTTGACAATCAAAATGAAATGCAACATATGAAACTAACAGAAAGCATAGGGTAATGACAAATTCTCTACATCCCACGCTACACATTTAGGTTTGACTAATAAATCCATGACCATGGAGGACATACAGAAGCACTTGATCAACCATGCACTGCTCTCCCAACTCCAAGAACGTCTCTGAAATCCTAATTGCAACACGAAACCCAGATTGTGATTTTAGATCACAAATCCAATTCCCACGAAGCACAGAGACTAAGAATCGAGTAGAAGAAATAGAATTGAACCAATGCATTGATCCTCCCTAAGGCCCCCGTGAGAGCTTCTCGTACAATGATGAATCCAAAAGTTTCCGCGGCGGCGAAGCTACTTCTCCTGGTGAAGAATGGGCCAAACAATCGAGCATTGATCGGCGAATCCGCCGTTAATTCCTCTTCTCCGGTGCAACAATTCGTTGACCCAGGAGAACGCCGTCACTGCTCTATAGAATCCCTCCGTCCATGAAGGCAACAAGGACCGCCGGAGCTATCAAATCTCTGGTCTACGTGTTGAAGACAAGGACGGAGACATCCACGGCCGGCAGAAGAGCTGCCTCAAATCGCCGCGGCCACATATTACGACTCCAGATCTGAGATGATGTGGCTATGGATTCGATGATTTCTGATTGGATGGTGGAATCCAAGTCTCGAAGATGGCGGATGAAAGGGGCCTTCTACTAGTAGCACACCAGCGCCACCGCGACGCTCTCCGTATCCATCACCGTCGCACTGAACTCGTCGGCGGCGGTGTGGTCGTGGTCGTGGTCGGGAGAGAGTCGACTGGCGCGATGGCGCCGACGATGGCAAAGGATTGCCGCTGGAGAAGAACAAAAAATTGGTGTTCAAAGGTATAGATCTGGCCGCTATTGCTGTGAGAGAGATAAAACGCGCTTAGATATTTAGTTTTTGTTTATTAATAATTTGTTACTTATTGTTATTTTACTATTATGCCCTTGTTGTTAGTATAACAACAATTAGACTGTTTTTATACTATCTGCACCCTTCCTCCATCGACATGCTCAAAACAAAACTTTAATACCGTTACAATTCGACATCGTTGCAATACAGAAGAATATCGATTTCCTATGTTTCCTACGGTCAAAGCTCAATACAGTCTTCTCATTTTTTTTGTTTTGTTTTCTCTATCGTCGCAAATCAGGCATGCTCGCTCTTTTAGTAATCTGAGCTTCATACCGGAATCATCGCATTCATCGCCTCTTGGCCATGCCGGTGTCTTGTTACCTTACCCTGTAAAATCACATGAAAACCCAAGAATCAAAAGTCGCTAATTAAAGCTGACTTCATTGCGAATTTGCGACACACAACGGCACTGATCGAAAGGATCGACAAGTTGAAGAAATGGGGGAGTTGATCTTGTATCAAAATACCGGTTGCAGTCGGTGTCCGGTTTCAGGGAGGGGAAGCTGCAATCGCTGGAAACTTTATCGACCCGGCGTTGGATAACGTCCGGGTGCCTGTATTGGTTGAGGAAGCAGAAGCAGGCCGCTTTTCTTTCAGCAGCGGTTTCGAGCGTGTCCAGATAGCCGGCAAGGTCCTGGCAGCACTTGGACGGGACGGGTATGGCTTTCGCCTTCCCGGTGACATAGTCGAAACAGCTTCCTGTTGCGTTTCTCGCCGGAGCACATTTTGTATCCAACTCCTTTTTGGCGTTGCACAACGCCGGCGCCAGCAGGCAGCACAAGATGATCACGAGGAGGAAGATCGCTGCATGACCAGTATTATAGGCTTTCTTCATCATTGATTATATGGCTGTTGATTAGGAGTGATGGGTCTTTCGTTAGATATGTTTGTGGGAGATGGGCAATTATTATACCAGGTTTAGGTTGAGTGATCTCAATTAACTGACTTGCGGGACTTGTAAGGTATACTCTTTTTTGTTCTTTTGTGGAATATATTAGAGATATGCTCTTGACGATGGAGACAGATCAGAGAATAAAAAGAATGTAGGAGAAAATGAACACTGAAGCATAGCACAAGAGGGCAAACGCAGGCCAAACCAATTGTACATCTGCATGTCTACTGTTACATCGTGGCCGCTGCGGTCAGCAATCATTCTTCACTAGCATTTGAGGTAAAATAGAAATCTTGTTACCGCAAGCAACCTGTCCTGGAAAGAGCAAACCCAGAAACGAATGGCATAACTTCTACTGCAGTAAACAACATCACTTCATCCCATTAATAACCATTTGTTCAACCGTATGTGATCTTATCGTCACTTAAGTGCAATTAGCAGGACGAGAGGCAAGGCCTCGCTCAAGGCAACATTGCAAATGTGATCTTAAGTATGAAACGGGGATGTGGGATTACAGTACAAACCTCTGGTGGATCCTGAGAAGCCTTTCCAAGGAAAGGATCTCAATGGATTATTGCAGGCCTATTTGCTTTTCGTTTGGATCTGGTCTTGCTGATTACCTTTGGCACATCAGGTGTCAAGGCATACATCTTCACTGCGAATAGCTCCTTAGGAAATCCTCTTTGGTCCTGGTTTAAAGAAAGGTAAGAAATTTAAGTATATGTTCTGCTCTGGCTAGACAGTGGCACTGTAGGAAATCAAAATGCTCTGCAGATGAGATGAGTGATTTCAACACAAGATTTGGCTGATCATGAAGCTAACATTAATGAGTTCCCAATTATCTTGCTATAAGGGTACATCAGTGACAGAAAAAGTAAACAACAACAATTCCCCTGATTATATGGGGTTATGAAAAGATAAAGCTAACCTTTGTTTTGTACAAATGCAGTCCACATTGACGAAAGAGGTCCCTGAAGTACAAATCAGACCTGGTGATGCTCCTGTCATCCTTGTCTAATACGAAACCTGCAAATGGATAAATTTTCAGACACATGAATGAAATACATCTTAAAAACTTTCATTCCCATACTGATACTATGCTTGAACCATCTTAATTCATGGACAAAGAATATAAAGGATAAATCTGAAAAGTCAAATTTTTATTAGAGCCCATGAGGGAAGAAAAATATGGACACCATGTATTGCTGAGATCTTTGGGTTTATCTAAAGATTGTCAGAATACATGAAACCATGTAATCTACAATTATATGGGGGCTGAAATACATGGCTTCTAATTCTATGCCAAAACGAGACCAAAAGAACAATGTAATCTGAGAAACCATGTATTCTGAAAAACGAGAGGCAGCATACATGATTTCCAGACTACGCCTAGTTAAATGGCACTGAATTAGTTCTAACTAGTATTCTGCACCGGAAAAGAAGAGTATCTCCTAAACAAGTAATCAGTATGTATATCCAGGCTCTCTTGGCAAGAGAAGAGACCGTCATTAACAGCTAAATAGCTAGTTTCTGATGTCAGTTTTCAGTATGAAGAAATTGATTCCCCAAGGAGCATGCTGTTCTTTGCAACTTAGTATATATAAATTCACATGCGCAAAACTTGTTCGAGATGAGATCAAACTACTGGCAATAGGTGAGCTCCACATCTTTTGGCTTTTGCAGCACCAAATGTGGGAAGAAGAGAGCAAATCAACTAAGCATTACAAGGAACAAGTCATAATTACCACTTTTTGCAATGTTCTCTTTCATCACGAAAAAACCACCGGGCTTGAGGCCAGCCTGCAAATCACATTCATATAAATTTCATGTAGATACACTATGCCCTGTAAACCAAAAGAGAACTCCTAAAACAATTTACCTTTGCTCTGTTAAAGAACGAGACGAAGTCATTGTCTGTGAGATGCCCAATGCACCATTGAACCCAGATGACATCATATCTTCCAGTCTCAGGTGTGAATTCCTAATACCATCTCCCCATCAATAAGCTAACTTCCTGCAAAAACATAAAGAGACGAACCGAGCTTTTCTGTCTATCTTACCTGAAGTGGAACACAGAAGAAGTTACTAGCCTTATGTGTATCTGATCCCGCTGCCACATTAGCATCGCTCAGACTTTCGCGAGCAGCATCCAGAAAATGTTTCACCGGTTCCAGAAGATCAACCTGAAGACAGAGAGCAAAAATCAACAACCTTTATTGCACCTGCCCTCAGCATACACTGTAAATAGCAAGCAAAGCAAACAGACAAAACGAATACCTCATTAAAATACTTCAACAGAAGATTTTTGGTTATCCTTCCAACGCCCGAGCCACAATCTGAATCAGATTCAGCTTCAGATTATGATGGAAGAATGGATAGACGTAAGCAAACAGAGTCAGTAGTGAAAGTTGCACGATAATGGTTACCAAGCGCCACAAGAGGCCGATTCCTTCCACCGTCCACAAACAGCTCGGAGAAAAGGCTCCTAATGAAAACTCCACTGTCCTTAACATCGGCGTCATTGACATGGCCATACCCGCCCAAAACTCCATTCACTGACGCCTCCACTCCCTTCTCCGACGCGATTAGAAACGCACATAAACGTCGAAATTAAGAGCCAGAAACGGAGAAAGACCAATACTTTAGGTTCAAAATTTACTTCAAAATGGTATTAGTCAAGGCCGACACTTACTTCCCAGTACGAAACGCCGTCGCGGTACCACTGATCCTTCTTTGAATCGTCGCCGGTGTATTCCGTCCACATCTCATCCGCGCTATTGAACTGGTGACCGTCAGAATCAAGTCCGGCTGTTTCCATTGCTGACAGTGTCCCAACCGAGCAACCGGAGCGGTAGAAGGCGCAATCGGCGCGAGCGGAGTTGGCGAGGGAGAGTGGAAGGGAAACGGTGGAGGGCGAGTGCGGAGGCGGCAACGGGCCGTTCCATGGGCCACATAGGGCTCGATGTACAGTGATGTCCATCTCGAAATCTTCGGACGGTGGAGGAGGTGCTGCACGGCGTCGTTTTGCGAGGAGATATAATGGTAGTCGTATGACTGGGCGATTCGATGCCCGACCTTCGAAAATGCCCATTACCCTGCGGCGCGCCAAGGTGAAACATGGAGAGGAACCCGGCACTCCGGCTGGCGAGTCTTTTGCAGTCTTGCATCGAGAAGAAATCGCATTTATCAGCAGCAAAGATCCTCCATACTCGCATCCTCCGCTCCGGCCTATACGCCGATACTTTCCTGTCCAACCGTCTGATTGAGCTCTACTCCAGATGCAACAGTGCAAACAATGCCCGCAAGCTGTTCGACGCAATTCCCAACAAGAACATATACACCTGGAACGCGATCCTGACCGAATACTGTCGGATGGGAGAGTTGGAAGATGCCTTCATGGTGTTCGACGAAATGTCCGAGAAAAACACCGTGTCCTGGAACAACTTGATCAGCGCATTGGTGCGTGGTGGGTTTGAGAGACGGGCGTTGGATGTTTATGATAAGATGGTGTTGGAAGGGTTTTTGTCCACGCATTGCACGTTGGCGAGTGTTTTGAGTGCTTGCGGTGGTTTGTTGGATGTGGAGTGTGGCAGGAGGTGTCATGGCCTTGCTGTAAAGATTGGACTTGAGCTGAATAAGTACGTGGGTAATGGTCTGCTTTGTGTTTATGCTAAGTGTGGTTTTCTTAGGGACGCCACTCAACTGTTTAAGGATATGCCTGAACCGAATGAAGTAACTTTCACTGCGATGATGGGTGGGTTGAGCCAGACGGACAGAGTTGGAGAGGCATTAGAGATGTTTAGGTTGATGTGTAGGAAAGGGGTCCGGGTTGATAGTGTCTCCTTGTCTAGTGTTTTGGGTGTTTGTTCTAGAGGAACGAGTGGAGAAGCTGCGTTCAACGACCAGAGAGATCGGTTCGCGAGCAATCTTCATGGTAAGCAGGTCCATGGACTCGCAATCAAACTGGGATTTCAGAACGGTCTTCACTTGGGGAATTCTTTGCTTGATATGTATGCAAAGTATGGGGATATGAATAGTGCTGAAAAGGGTTTTGATAATATGCCCTGTTATAGCACTGTTTCTTGGAATATAATGATCGCCGGGTATGGTCAAAGCTACCAACTTCAGAAAGCCAGAGAATTTCTTCAGAAAATGCAGAACCTTGGGTTTGAACCTGATGAGGTTACCTGTATTAACATGCTCGCAGCATGTGCAAAGTCGGGAGATATGGAGACTGCAAAACTCATGTTCGATAACATTTCTCGCCCCAGTACGAGTTCATGGAATGCTATACTATCAGGGTATCTCCAGATTGGGAACAACCAGGAAGTTGTTAAATTGTTTAGAGAAATGCAGTTCCAAAGTGTACCGTGTGATAGAACAACCTTGGCTGTTGTTCTTAGCTCTTGCACAGCTAAGGGGTTCTTGGAAGCCGGAAAACAGGTTCATACTGCTTGGCAGAAGGGTTCTTGTCATAATGACTTATACGTTGCTAGTGGCCTTATAGCTGTGTATTCTAAGTGTAGCAAGCTTGAGATAGCAAAATGCATATTCGAGAACTTGCCTCAACTGGATATTGTTTGCTGGAATTCTGTTATTGCAGGATATGCAATCAATTCTTTACACAAAGAAAGTTTTACTGTTTTCAAGAAGATGCGCCAAAATGGGATGTCTCCAAACCAGTTTACTTATGCAACTGTTCTAAGTTCCTGTTCAGAACTAGGTTCTTCATCTCAAGGAAGACAAGTGCACTCGCAGATCATAAAAGATGGGTTCACCAATGATGTCTTTGTAGGAAGCACTCTTATTGGTATGTACTGCAAACGTGGTGAGGTAGATGAGGCCCGCGATTTTTTCGATATGATGCCTAGCAAAAGTATTGTTACCTGGAACGAGATGATTCATGGGTATGGCCAAGGTGGACAAGGCGATGAAGCTGTAGGCATTTACAGGGAGATGATTGAAGGTGGCGAGAAACCTGATAGCATAACCTTCATCGCTGTTTTGACTGCTTGCAGCCACTCTGGTTTGGTGGATGCAGGACTTGAAATCTTTGATTCAATGCTGCAAGACCATGGAGTAGAGCCAATTTTGGATCACTATACTTGTATAATTGATGCATTGGGCAGAGCTGGTCGTTTCCATGAGGCAGAAATCATACTGAATAAGATACCATATAAGGACGACCCAATTGTATGGGAGGTTCTGCTTAGCTCTTGTAGGCTCCACGATAATGTGAGCTTAGCTAGAAGGGCGGCAGATGAACTCTTCCGTCTGGATCCTCAAAATTCGTCCCCGTATATCCTTTTGGCCAATATCTATACTTCTCTTGGAAGATGGGACGAGGCAAATGCTGTGAGAGTGCTGATGGGTAACCATCATATTACCAAGGATCCAGGTTACGCTTATATTGAGCTTGAAGCTGGACCACAATCATCAACACGGGTTAAAAATCTGATGATGTCCAACAATGAATTTCTTACAGCAAATGGGCCTGATCATCTTTCTATGGCAGGATCCGTTGCATGAAGGCATAGTACAGGGCTGTCACTTTGATGATCAAAATGTCTAGCCTGCGTATGCATGATCTGAATGCCCCAGCGCCTAGTAGGAGGGAGTTGCTGAGTGCAGGGCCGATGTAAGCTGGGAGAAGAAACCCCAAGGTTGGTGTATCTCATTATTTGCAGTAGCCTCAACCCTCAGGTCATGAATCCTGGGGGCTCTGACCAAGTGCCTACAGCCATTTGATTAGCCTTTACTTCGGAACAGAATGAGGCCAAAGAGCATCTGTCAGTCAGGTCTGAATAGGGATCTCAGTCTCAGTAAAAGACATCGGATGAAGGAAATCGGGCGTTAGGGAAGAAATTTTGAGGGATTACTGCTCCATGCATAACGTCTTGTACCAATTACCCGAGGGAGGATTGAGGAAATTGGTTATCCTTCAACATACGGATTACATTGTCTACATACCGAACTGATGGGTTGAATATTGGCAAGTCGATGTCAGATTGGCCTACACTCTCTCATTTGAAACTCTGTTATAAAGTGTAACATGGGGTTTTGAGTTTGACATAATTGCTGGATGCATAAGGAAGTCAGTATAGGGAGATCTCTTGCAATCGGGATAATATATGTTGAATGGTGTTAGCTGTGAGCAGGGGTTGACACAGAATGATCTATCTTTTGGCTTGGTAGGATAATTTGATATCTTGCCTTCATTTCTATGTTAGAGCCAGAGGCGATTGCGGTCTCATGGACAGGAGCAGAGCGATATTGTGGCCGAGGATCAAATGCATAATCAGATTTGGACTCTTGACTGTAAGTGTGAAATGTGAATAAATCTTCATGATTAAATTGAATTTATGTCATTTTAATTCGGGTTTTAAATATAATTTACCATTATGATATACCTTTATATCATTACAAGATAATAGTAAGAATATATTAAAATTAATATTTAGAATTTGAACTTCAGAATTTTCATACTCATGTTGGTTCAGGAGTAATATATTATATCTTGGTTTATGATATTTTATTATGTGTATTCTATTTTTAATATGCTTATTTATGAGATATCGATTCGTTAACAATTTAATAACTATTAACCCATAAAATGTGAATCGGTCACTAGTTGCTACATCGATTTATACCCTGGTTCGATTCTGAAAACATTGGTGAGAATTATATCGAGAATTTAAAATAAAGTTAAAAAATAAGAACTGGAAACAAAGTTGCTTCCATTTGCTACTCTGATTGGGTCAAACAAGCTACATGTAAAAGTAATATAGAAAATTGCAATCTACAATGGGAAAAAATGTCAAAAGGAAAACAAAACCACACATGTTCTGTAAGGTCGGATTAATATTCGAAAATGCTAGTAGTGGAGAATCACATCCCTTGGCACTTCGGTTGGGGGGAAAAAGGATTTGGTTCTTTTTTCTGTGGCTTTAAGAAGGGAGGATCCAAGAAAGGACCAGTAAGAGCCTTCCAACATCGAGAAAAGACGAGCAAAACAGTCCGTGCAAATTGCAGAACATCTCAAGTGGGCCGCCGGTTTTATTTGATTCTCGAACACATTCCTTCCTTTTTTTCTTTTCTTTCTAAACTTCTACATTCAATGATCAGCAGATGCTCTGCCATTGCAGCTGCCCCTGCCTCCTAATCTGCGTTACGGAAGGAAGGGTGTGCGCTCCTCTGTGGTGTCAACAAAAGTATATATTCGGTTATGGAAACACGAAGACAACCGCCCCGAGAAGGAGGATCGAGGGCGATGTGCCTAGACAGAAAGAAGGCCTCCGCCATGGGCGGTTGGACACAGTACAAGAGCACCAGCAGTAATAACGAAGGAGCAAACCAGAGTGGACGGCGGAGAAGACGTGACAGGCTGGCTGAGCTGTGCAAGAAGATAGTCCAACATTTGATTCGAGGAGAAAATGGCAGCGGCATGGTGACAGAGCCGTATCAGTCGCTGAACAGCAAGCCGTCGCCTTTGCAGCTGCAGAGGGGCAGCTATGCAGCGGCAGCGACGAGGAAGCGAGCTCTGCTCATCGGGGTCACGTACAAGAGCTGGAAGCACAGGCTGAAAGGAACCATCAATGATGTCAGGAACATGAGGTCGTTGTTGATTCATCAGTTTGGTTTCGCCGCTGAAAACATACTCGTTCTCACAGGTAACTTTGCGTTGCCAGTATATGTAATAATATTCATTATTCAATCTCTCCAACAACTCTAGTTATTGAGATCATCTGGTTCTTGACATAGTATAGTATCTGATTTTTATGTGGTCGAGATGTTTTTTGGTTTCGTTCATTGTTAATTTACATTGCATGATATAATTTGTAGAAGAGGAGGAGGCAGAACTGCGACCAACAAAGCTGAACATAAAAAGGAGCCTAGAATGGCTAGTGAAGGGATGCAGGTCAGGGGACTCGCTGGTGTTCTATTTCTCCGGCCACGGAGTCCGACGGCCAGACTTCGACCACGATGAGCAGGACGGGTTCGACGAGACCATTTGCCCAGCAGATTTTATGGAAGCCGGGTTGATTTCCGACAACGATATCAACGAAGCCATTGTGTGGCCACTGAAGAACGGTGTCACTCTTCACGCCATCGTTGATTCTTGCCACAGCGGGACCATTCTCGATCTTGCCTTTCTCTACAACAATGATCGGTAGTAAAAATCTCTTCCCTCCCTCCCTTTTCCACTTCCGCTTTACTGTCTCCGCCATTAATTTACCGTCTCGGCCTGAACAGGAGAAAGTGGGAAGACAATCACCCTCCGTCTGGTGTCAGGAAACACACGGACGGTGGATTGGCTATCTGCATAAGCGCCTGCGAAGACAGCGAATTAGCAGTGGATACCTCGGTAAGTGATTAATGCTCATCGTCACTGTGACCATTTTGAGTGCAAGTTTTGAATGCATGGTGGATGATGGACGTGCAGGCTTTTGGGAAGGGAATGAGTGGAGCCATGACATATATACTGGTGGAGGTGGTGAAGCAATTCCCAAGCCCGACGTATGGCGATCTGATGGAGTTGATCCACGAGGCCCTGGCTGAGGTTAACAACAGCGGATGCTTCTTATCGCGCGCCTTCAGGTCTATGTTGCATAACAAGATATTGCAGAAGCCGTTGCTGTCAGCTTCCCGACCATTTGATGTCGGCACCAAACACTTTATTTTGTGAATCTATCCTACTAATTGAAGAACTATATATACCAAAGCAACATCCTATATGTATTTGTCATTTCTTACATGTATGGATTCAATGTGCCGAATTGGGGCATGTTTTAGGCCGGACGAGAACCATTAGTGCGTATGTGAATCTGTATTTGCTGCCCGCTCAATTATTATTTAATTGGTGAATGATTACACTGCAACGATAGAAAGGCGACACTATGATTCGTGTTCCTGTTAGGACTTCTTGTTCTGTTCTTTCTTTGGTCCTTGACATTGCTGTTTTTTCCCCTCCTTTCCCTTTTGTAGTGTGGACAGGTTGTAGTTCTTTTCTCTTCTTTGGTGATCACTGCTTGTGATGCCGAGACTTTAGTCCTTTTTTTTTTCCATAAATGTTACAAAAATAAAGTCTTTTCACGCTGAAACGAAAAATAAGGGACGCCTGCCAACCAACCACCGACCAACGATAAGAGAGCATTCTTGCCACGATATGAGCAGCTCTTTAATACCTATTCGGCAAAGGCTAATCCTGAACTTAATTCCCACCCTTTGCAGGGGGCAAAGTCAAGGACCAAACCCCTGTGGCTGTTAGATGTCCACAAAGGAACAAACCCTGCAAATCTAACAACAAAATATGCCCGGAGCAAAAAAACACGATTGAAATTAAATAACTAAGGATACAGATTCAGGCCACCGTACACGTTAACTTTCCATCAAAGCTATAAAGTCCAAGAGTCTTCATGTGGTGCCTACACCCCACGTTTACAAGTGTCCGGATGTGCGACATGCGTCAATTAAGCGCTCCATCACGTACCTGCAAAATCGCCAGAACAAAGAAAACACAAAGCCACAAGCAAGCAGGCTTCTGTACTAAGTAGAGGTGGTAATTGGATCGGATTCGTGGATTGGATTGGTGGATCCATGGATCAAATGGATTGGATCCAATGGATTGATGGATTAGATCAAATGGATTGGTGGATTGATCCATGAATCCAAATGACATCCAAGGCTTGGACCAAAATGTAAAATTTGAAAAGTTTTTGTACCAAAATGTCATAATAAAAAATTTTAGGTACCAAAATTTAATTTTCCAATGATATTTTTCGTATAAAAATATAATTTTAGGTATCAAAATGTAAAATATAAAAATATAGATACCAAATTGTAATTTGCCATTTGGATCCATGGATTGATCCATGAATCCACCAATCCAATTGGATTTAGATCAAATGGATTAGATTTAAATGGATTGGATTAGGTGGAAATTTGATGGACGGATTGGATTGGATTCATGAATTTGGATTATAATTACTAAGCCTAAATGATGATCTTTTCCCTGCAAAAACCAAATACTGAGAAAGCCAAAACTAGTGTGAGCCCACCCACCTTCTCTAAGAATAACGGCCCAAAGCAATAGCAAGAAGCAAAATAAAATAGGACTATTAAAATGACACTAAACAAAATATGCGCACGTAAAAATCACACTATAATTGTTCCACCTAGTTTTATGATACTTATTAGCTAGCAAAATATGAACAGAACCCTCTAGCTTGCATAATTCACCCCATAAATAATAATAATGAAGTGTCTATAAAATCTCATAATGTAAAGTAAGAGTAGAGAACAAACAGAAGGTGCCTACAACTAGAGTATGATAATTAAAGGCCAGACACAGTGATAAAGCCACCACACGGCCGAGCAAAACTGGGTAGGGGTGTTCAAATGGATTGATTACCGCGGTAAACATATTAATCGGTAACATTCGATTAATTATTTTATTTCATTTCCTTTCGATTAATGCATTTCATTATTTTATTTTTTAAGAAATGCATTTCATTATTAAATTTTTTTATTTATTGTCGATTTTTAAACAAACGCCAAAAAACCGTCACAAAAACCTGTGGGCCGAAGAAGATTGAAGGCCTGACAAGGTTCTGGCCGCTGAAACCCGTTGGCTTGTGTCATAGACGATATTTATCATCGGTTTTAAACCGCCACAAAAACTTGTATGTGATTGTTAGATGTACTTACCTTTTTTTCTGAGATTATTAATTTATAGTTCAGAAATAAATTATATTTGAGTAGGTGAAATCCAAATTTCCGTATTCATATTACATACAAGAGTTAGATTAATACTCCACGAGAACTAAGCTATCGAAATCTTCAGCATAGGAACTATTTTTGCTCTTACTTATTTAGAAGACAAAGCTTGTGGGACTATATAAAAGCCCCATCCTCCTTCTTTCATTCTCCATCAAACTCACAAAAACAACTTATCTCCCTCAAAACCCATACATATATATTGCTAGCAACGTACCATCAAAACAACAACACGGTGATGATGATGAAGCAGGCGATCATCTCAAACATTGTCATCATATTTGGAATCTCCGCCGTCCTCTTCATTTGCGTTGCAGAGAGCAGACAGTCAGCGCCAAAGGCTGTCCAATGCAGTACGGTGGAAATCGATGTCATGCCTGCAGTTCGCTCAAGGAGGTCAGGACAAAGTTCCACTGACCTGCTGCAACGGCCTACACAACCTCGCCGATAGCGCAACGACGGTCGACGACAAGACCGCCGCCTGCAAGTGCTTGGCTACTGCTTTTCAGAATTTCCCTACCATCAAAGACGAGGATTTGCAGAAAATTTCTGTGCTGTGCAACGTTACTGTCCCCTTTCCCCTCTCTAAGAACCTCAAATGTGACAAGTAAGTGGAATCAGCTGTCTTGCAGTTTTACGTTTATGTATTGCAATACTGGTTCGATGATACTCGACAAGAGGGTTGGATAGATAATCATTCGCTTGGATATAATGTTTCAATCTACTACTACGTGTGTTCGGCTAAATCAAAGACCAATGTTGGCCCGGAAGAATATTGATGTAGGCCCATCGTATCCCAAGGACTCGACATCTATTCCGAGTAGGGCGTGTAATGCTTGCTGTAGTTGCGTTGATGATGTACAGAAGCATATATATTTCTCCCATGTAAGGCCACTGGCCGAATCATATATCAAATAAGAACCCTAGTATGTGGACGTAGCTCATGCATATTGCAGGAGTGAACCACGTTAAAAACGTCGTGTTCGTTGTCTCTTCCACGTACCATTCTTGATTTTTTACATGGTATCAGAGCAAGTCAGCTCAGCCTACTGAAGATCTTTTGAAGTAACGTCATGGGCGACAAGGACGAGATGTCCCTTGCCAGCGCAAGTCAGGTCATAGCTGTTAAGGTTCAAGATCCTTTTGTCACCGTTTTATCTCCATGCTTCTGTGACAGCGAGTTAGCTGCAGGTTGGAGAGGTCTTAACTAGGGATGGCAATGGGTCGGGTTGGGGCGGGTTTTGTCAAACCCAAACCCAAATTCATGGGTTTATCCGCCAAAAAAACCCGGGGTAAAACCCGTTGGGTTTAAAAAACTCAAACCCAACCCAACCCGCTTGGTATCCGCAGGTTCATGGGTACCCGTGGGTTTTTGTGGTAAAAAATTTACAATGACAAGTTTCTTTCAAAATAAAAGTTTAACATCAATTTTCTCATACAAATTATTCATACAAAAAACACCAATCTAGAGCATACAAGCAAACCGCAAATGATCAATATAAATTGTTCAAAATTAAAGATAAACATCTATAAACAATAAGATTAATTGAAAGTTTCTTCCTCGTCAACTAAGTTTCTTCACTCTCCACTTCATAATATCAACTTCATTCTAAAGAATTAGAAAGAACAAATTATACATGTCTCCACAAACATAAAGAATATTAGTTGTTTAAGAAAGATATATTATTTAGAATATTAAATATACTGGAAAGTAATTATATGTGTGTGGGCGGGTACCCATAGGGCAGGTTTACCTAAACCCAAACTCAACCCGACCCGATGAATAGTGTAGCAGGTTTAAACCCGAACCTGGCCCAAAACCCGTAAACACAGGTTTTACCCGCACGGTAACATATCCCCTCTATGCTCATGTTTCTTACTCCCGTGTTAGTCCTAAGTATCGGGCTTTTCTGGCCGAGGTGACCCGTCATGATGAACCTCGGAGCTTTAATGAAGCTATCAAGAATCCATTTTGGCGCGAGGCAATGGAGAAAGAAATAGCTGCTCTTGTCGCAAATTGAACTTGGAGTCTTGTTGATCTTCCTCTAGGCAAGCGGTTGATCGATTCGAAATGGGTGTTTAAAATAAAGTATCGTCCCAACGACAGCATAGAGTGCTATAAGGCGCGTCTCGTCGCAAAAGCTTATACACAAATTGAGGGTGTTGATTATCATGACACGTTCGCCCCGGTGGCCAAGCTAGTTACTGTTCGTTGTTTGATAGCGGTCGCCGCTAATCGTGATTGGCACATTCATCAGCTAGACGTAAACAATGCATTTTTGCATGGGGATCTGACCGAGGAAGTGTACATGAAGATCCCGCCAGGCTTTGCGGCACGTGGAGAGAACCGTGTTTGCCGCCTTCACAAATCTCTGTATGGGTTACGTCAAGCGTCCCAGATGTGGTACCAGAAGTTTACTGATGCACTATGCACCATCGGTTTTCGTGCATCGCCAACATATCATTCTCTTTTTGTTTACAAGAGAGGATCAACCTCTGTCACAACCTTGATCTATGTCGACGACGTCCTTCTTGCTGGAAATGACTTGGATTTTATCACTACAGTCAAGTCTTTCCTAGACCGTCAGTTCAGCATCAAAGATCTGGGCCCTATTTGGTACTTTTTGGGGATTGAGGTGGCTCGTTCCCCTCGTGGAGTTGTCCTTAGTCAACGTAAGTAAACTCTGCATATACTTGAAAAATCGGGTATACAGGCTGCTCGTCCGAGTTTGTTTCCAGTTAAACAGAATCACCACTTGACTAGTCCATCTGGTGATACCCTCTCTAATGGTTCTGCTTATCGCCGCTTGGTTGGCCAGTTATTATATCTGACGGTTACCCGTCCTGATATTACTTATGGTGTTAATATCTTAAGTCAATTCATTCATGCACCCACGCAAGCTCATATAGATGCGGCAGTGCTCATCCTTCGCTACCTCCAGCAGTCTCCAGGACAAGGTTTGTATTTTCCTGCTGCATGCACACTTGACCTCGTTGCTTACTGTGATGCAGATTGGGGCGGCTGTGAGAGTACGCGTCGTTCTACTAGTGGTTTCTTCATCAATCTTGGTGGGGCGCCCGTTTCCTGGCGTACTAAGAAGCAGAAGGTCGTTGCACGTTCTTCTGCTGAGGCAGAGTACACTACAAGAATTTGGGTTAGTTATGACAAAATAATTGTTTGTCATAATAGTTTTGTCATAATAAGATATTTAACATGACAATCCTGTTATTTGTCAAAATAGTATAACCTATTATGATAAAATCAGAGTTGACAGAATATTCTGTCAAAATAAGGTTTTATTATGACAAAATACGTGTTGTC